TACATGTTCATATCCTTGAAGATGTATCATGGAAGTGTTGCAGCCTAGAAGACACAAATTTAGCTAACAAGTTAAAAGTACATGAGTCAAAAATTAAAAAGCAATAATATTCCCAGTAGAGGCTGTAATAGTGGCACAAATCAAGTTACAGAGGGAAGGTATTTCTTACAATAAAAGGCCGATTGACTAGCACTTTGTCTATTATAATATAAAGGTTAGGAACCACAAGGTGTAGAGGCTCAACTATGTCATTTATTGTTCTTAAGTCCTGGAGCAAATTCCATCTACCACTGGGTTGGTTTACAACTCAAAAGTCTGCATGCAAGGCAGAGGTGAAGTAAGGAACTGCTTATGAGTTTTTCCGTCAATTCCAACAGCTAAGAAAAAGTGAGACGAGTTGGGACCTCAGAAGGCTTTTAGGACCAAATAGTAGGCTCTTGTGTCCAGGAGAAAACTAATATAGTTACCAGTAATGTTAATGCTCACACACAGCTCTTCTGGGAGGATCTAAATCATTGAAGCGTCCTCCTTTGTTTTCATATGGGAGCTGGGGCCTGTCAGTCCTGTCAGCCACGAGGACCTTATGTGGGCCACCCTTGACCAAGTGTCCTTCAGACCCACACTTAAAACAAGTGAGTGGGAGCTTCCTCTCTACTCCCTTGCCTATCTGTGGCTCTCATCTGTGATACTGTCTGCTGAAGTGGCCAGCTTTCCAGAGTGGAAGCAATTCTGACCTCCTTTATTACCTTTGGGTGGCACTGCATATGAGTAAGACTTCCTTTTCCTGACACAGGCCCTAAACTGGCAGCAATAGCTGCTCCCAAAATTTTGGCAATTTTCTGGTCTTTTTTCTTCCCTCTAGATCCAAGTTGTTAAAAGAGGGGAAAATGCAAACAAATGTATAACAAATATATTTGAACATTATAATCTTTTAAGCTTAAGGCTAGAAATATTAACAATATCATCATTTATCATTTCCAATCCAGAGATACATGTTCCAATGCAGTTCCTATTTTCCATAAATGGTTTTGGTAAGAGGAATGTTGTAAATGTGGATACATTTCCACTATTCCTCCTCC